AAAAAAAAAAAAGTTAAAAAGAAAGAAAAAGGTGGCATGCCTTCCATTTTTGGCAAAACACACCCTACTCCAGTGCACACGTGCGGGCGTATACACACATACACACACACACACACACACACACACACACACACACACACACACCTCTAGTCTCAGTAACAGAAGTGCCCCCTCCCCTGCATCTGCCCAAGGCCCTTCTTACTCCAGGCTTAACCCTTTCCAAACAAACAAACATCCTCTTTACTGGCTCTTTCTTCTGGGCATATTCACACACTTAAGTGTCTCCCTTTAAAAAAAAAAAAAAAAAAAGCAAACAGAAACAAAATGACTGAAAAACCACTCTCTTGGCCTCACCTGCCTCTGTAAGTCACATTCCCGCTTCCACGGCTTTAGCAGCGTCCTGGCCCTGCAGATGTGGGGTAGCACGTACTTGGGTGGCTTAAGCAACAGAAATTTATTGTCTCCCAGTTCTGGAGGTCAGAAGTGCGGGATCCCGGGGTGCTGCTGGGGGGTTGCTGGCCACCTTTGCTGCTCTTTGGCTCAGGGATGCATCCCCCTCGATCTCTGCCCTCATCTGCACATGACCTTCTCCCTGTGTTCACGTCTGCATCCACATGTCTTCTCGGGGTAGGGCCCACTCAAATGACCTCAACCTGACTGTATCTGAAAGACCCTGTCTCCCAAGAAGATCCCATTCTGAGGGAGGTGGTGGGGTTAGGACTCCAGCAAATCTTTTGGGAGGGGAGACAATTCAACCCATAGAACCGCCAAACTTAAAAAAAGGGGTCCGTCCTTACTCTTCCCGCTCCCCGCTTGCCCCACAGCCTGCTGCCCCCTGGCTCCTGCACTGCCCTTGCTAAGGACTAAATGACCTCATGGTTGCCCAATTGGGTAGAACTTTCCTGACCCTAACAGGTGGACCTTACTGTCACATGGTGTCACACTCCTGCCTCCTTTGGCCCCTCCAGTTCCACCGGGATTCCGTGTGTCGGGCTGGCGTGTCCTCCTCCTGGGTGTTCCTGGGCTCAGCACCCAGCCACCCCAGCTTCTCTCCTAACCCCCGCCCCAAGCTAATCCTGTGTGCTCCTGCCTTTGACCTACACCCCGCCGAAGGCCATCCCTGACCTCGTCAGCCCAGACGGTTCTCCCAGCTTGCAGATCTGACCATCTCTCCTGGCTATTCCTCTGGTGCCTCTCAATCAAATGTACTCCACCTGATCCCCACCCCACCCCCGGGGGTCTCATCTAGGGCCTTCTGCAGCCCCTGTCTTACTATCCCCCGCCTCTAAGAAAACCAGGATCATCCTTTACCACCTCGCTCATGCCTCATATACATCAGTTCCAAGTCCCCAGGAGCGAAAACTCTTTCAAATGGACCCTTGCCGTGTGACCTCTGTTGCCACTCTGATCATTTCTCTAGGTTCTAACTTCCTGCCCCATGGCTTTGCTCCCACCCTGGGCCATCATCTTCTGTCCCACCTTCTGTCTCGTCCTCTTCTGTGTCATCTACCACGATGTCCCCACAGTGATCTCTTGGACAGCCAAACATGGTGTTTAGAATCATTCAGGGGCTCTCCATTGCCTTCAGGATGAAGTCCAAACTCCTAAACGTGACATGAGATGCTCCTTATGATCTGGCCCCTGGTCATTTCTCCCGCTTCCTTTCCATCCATTATATGAGGGCTGTTTCATCCCTGCTGACAACTTTGTTACCCCCTGAAAGTGCTGTACTGCTCTTTTATATTTCCTTCATACCCACTGTTCCCTCCGTCTTCAGTGCCCTTCCAACAGCTTGTGGCAATCTCCCCTCTGGCATCTTTCAAGAATCAAACCAGAGGTCCTTCTGGGGAGTCATTCTGAGCCCCCCAGAATGACCTAGGTCTTTCCTCCTGCCTTTCTTAAGCACCTTGTTACATATTATAATCCTGGCTCTCAGCTTTAAAGCCCTAGTCCACTGCCTGACGCACAATACAGCTTCAATAAACAAATAAGTTGACGAGTTATCTCTAACTCACTGACGGATACAAAAAAATCTGAAGTCCTCATTCATCTTTTGAGGTTCTTGTCTCTATTCTAGGATTTTCCTCAGTGTAGTGGGAGGACGATAGCACCAGAATCCCTTGGGGAGCTGATAAAACATGCAGCTTCATGGACAGCACCTTGAACGTGATGAATCCGTATTCTAAACAAGCTACCTTAGTAATTCATGTGAACAGGGTTTGAGAACCAAGGCTCTGGAAGGCCTTTCAAGCTTATCATATATATATTTTTTAAAGTAACCTCTACGTCCAACATGGGGCTTGAAGTCATGATCTGGAGATTAAGAGCCACGTGCCCTACCGACTGAGCCAGCCAGGTACCCCAAGTCTATCACATTTTAAAAAATGTTTATTTATTTTGAGAGAGAGAGAGAGAGAGAGAGAGAGAGAGAGAGAGAATCCCAAGCAGGCTCTGCACTGAGTGTGATGCAGGGCTCAAAATTTGCCCCCAAACCTTGCATCCACTGACCCTAAGTCTGCTTCCTAGGATCTCACAGAATTTACCTGTGCCTATTTGTACATGGGAGTTCTTTAAAAATTTGAGGACAATCACCCTGTCCTGCCTGCTTCTTCTTCCCTATGTCGACTTTTTCCACTACCTCAGCCCTGCTGCATGACCCGAGGATTTCCATCAACGACCTGCTGTCCCCCTGACTGTCTTTAAGCTTGCCAATTTCTTTTGCCTACCATATAGTTAGTGCTCAGAACTGGCCATGATACTCCATGTGGGATTTGGCCAGCTCAGAATACACTCTCTTGAACTGGACGCTATTTTTTAAAATTTTGTTTTTACGTTTATTCGCGTGTGAAAGAGAGAGACAGAGCACAAGCAGGGGTGGGGCAGAGAGAGAGGGGGACACAGAATCAGAAGCAGGCTCCGGGCTCTGAGCTGTCAGCACAGAGCCCGACGCGGGGCTCGAACTCACAAATTATGAGATCATGACCTGAGCCCAAGTCGGATGCTTAACCGATTGAGTCACCCAGGTGCTCCGACTGTATGTCTTGTAACAACCCATTTTACATGGTTAGCCATGTTGAGCATACGGTCACCTGAAACTAGAATTTCTTCTTTTTACATGAGCTTGTGTCTAGCCAGGTCTTCTCCAGATGTCATTAAGTGGCTGACTTTTTAACCCAAGAGCTACATCCAACATTTAATCGTCTTAAATGTGACCCTGGGGGTGCCTGAGTGGCTCAGTTGGTTGAGTATCTGACTCTCGATTTTGAAACATGAGGCATCTCACGTGTTGTGAGGTTAAAGCCCTGTGAGGTCAGGCTCCATGCTGATAGTGCAGAGCCTGTTTGGGATTCTCTTTCCCTCTCTCTCTGCCGGCCACCCCTGCCCCCTGGATTTCGTGCAAATGCACTCTCTTTGTCTCAAAATAAATAAACTAAGAAAAAACGTGATTCTGTGGGTTTTGCCCATTAGCATAGATTATTAACTCACATCTTAACTATGAGATGGTAATGACAGGGCCCCTCAGGGGATGGAGACCCCAGATAGGCACTTACTCATTTTATAACTTTGCTTGGGGTCTTTACTCATTCTTTACTCAGCTCAAGCAGCCATGAATGAGTGACTGCGTTCTGCAATCTCCACACTCATGGCATATGCCTCAACGTTTCTGGGTCAACCCTCATTTTATTTTATTTTATTTTATCTTATTTTTTAAAAATGTTTATTTATTTTTGAGACACAGAGAGACAGAGCATGAACGGGGGAGGGTCAGAGAGAGAGGGAGACACAGAATCCGAAGCGGGCTCCAGGCTCCGAGTTTTCAGCCCAGAGCCCGACGTGGGGCTCAAACTCACCAACTGTGAGATCATGACCTGAGCTGAAGTCGGACGCTTAACCGACTGAGCCATCCAGGCGCCCCATCATTTTATTTTATTTTAAAATGTTCATTTATTTTGAGAGAGAGAGAGAGAGAGAGAGAGAGAACACAAGTTGGTGAGGGACAGGGAGAGAGGGGGAGAGGAATCTCAAGCAGGCTCCACACTGTCAGTGCAGAGCCTGACTCAGGGCTCGATCCCAAAAACTGTGAGGTCATGACTTGAGCTGAAATCAAGAGTCAGATGCTTAACGGACAGAGCCACCCAAGCACCCCTGGACCAACCCTAATTTTAAATATTCTTTCTGGTGCCACAGGTCCTCATGCCAAACTGTGAGTCTAATTCTTGGTTCAGAAAATATGGTCAATATAGTGCTGCCTTTCCACCAAGTGTTTATAGTCTAAGATAATAGAGGAGACAATTGTTCTGTCTGGTTTAAGCTGAGGGAGGCAAGCAGTAAAGAGAACAAGACAGTGGAAAGGTGAGAAGTTACAGCACAAATTTCACATCAAGAACAAACACTAAACAATGTAACTTTGGTTCCATTTCCCCCAAATTTCTGCTTACTACAATGATTGATCTACCCAAGTACCTGGATTCCTCCATTGATTTAGCAGTCTTACTTAGTGGATGTTGCATATTTTGAAGATGTTATTATTTTGCACTCCCTCCTGGAGCATGTGGTAACACTTCTGTTTTTGAGAAAGACGAAAAAACGCAGGTTTCTCTGCAGTCAAGAATTAAATTAATGTAAATAAAATCTGACTTCGGATCCTTCTAAGGGATGTGGGTGTGGGGGAGGGGAAATCCACCACCCAGACATTTGAAGAAAGTGGTTTGTGAATCTGGCTCAAAACATGGCAGTAAGAAAGAGTGCATGACGCTCACGAGACCCTGATGGGAAACACGAGCGGAGAGTTTGTTGTGTCTCTTTCATCCACGGACTTGCAAAGCATGACACTTGCGGTAACAAAATTGCATTGCCTGAGTACTGTGTCATTATCTGCTCTTCAAGATGGGGACACGTAGACAGGGAATGGCCTCTTCCAACGCGAGCAACTTTCAAGGAGCACCGCTGAGCTTCCTTCCACCCCCACGACGGGGAAAGCCGGCCTGCTACCACGACCCTGCGCGAAAACGGAGAAAATTCTTGGTTGTAAAAACAATTCCTCGTCATTGGTACCGAAAGTTGAAAAGAGACTTTTAAATTGCACATCGCTCCTGGCCCTACCTACGGTTAATCACTACTGTCTACGGAAGAGGAGCGGCGGCCTGGAGAACCACCACCCGGTACCCAGCGCCGGGGCGTCAGGGTCCCGCCCTGTCCCGGGTCGGCGCGGTGGGGGCGGAGTGCTCGCTTTCGAGGGCACTGCTGTCCTCCCCGGGAGGCTGTTTCGCGGGGAGGTTCGTTCGGCTCGCAGCAGGGAGCTCCCCGGGGGACTGCTGCGTGCAGGGGCAGGCTGGGAGGAGGGCGGCGAGCTGGATGCTCCGGGGCCCGGGTCGGCGCGCCTAAGTCTGTGCACGGTGGGGAGGTGTAGGGCGTGTGCACGGCACGGGCGGGAGGCGCGCCGGAGCGGCCGCCGGTCGCCGCTGCACAGAGGGCCGGCGCCGCCGGGTGAAAATACCGCGCAAAACCGGGGCCCGGACGCCCCAGGGCGCCGGCGGGGGGGAACTGAGCGGCCTCGCAGGGCCGGGCCCGGGCCCGGGCCCCGCCGTCCAGTGCGCTGACACCGAGCCGCAGCGCCCACACATCTCGAAGGTCTCCAGGCACCGCAGGCGGAGCGCGGGCCCCCGAGACCTGCACGCGCCCGGACAGGGGGAGCGCGCGCACCCGCCGGCGCCCCGGCGCGCTCCCCGCGCGGTCTGCGGAACCACAACGCGAGCGGGTATTAAGGGGGAAGGACGGGGCGTGGCCTAGGCGGGATGAGCCAATGGGCCGGGGAGGGGCGCGTGGGGGCGGAGCTCCGGCGCGGAGCGCCGATTGGCCAGTTCGCCCTCCGGTATGCAGATGCGGCGGAGTCACGTGGCAGGGGCCGGGACGACTTCCTGTTGGAGGCCAACGCGGGGCGGGGAAGGGGGCGCGAGCGCCCCGTCTGGCTGGAGCGGGGGGGGGGGGGGGTTCTTGTCAGTTAGAGCAACAAGATGGCCGCGGTGGCAGCTCCGCACCTCAGCGCGACGGCCCCGGGAGCCGCAGCCGCCGCCGCCCGCCCCGCCGCCCCGCAG